TGTGCCTAATTCATGCAATCATGTTTGTTATCAGGGAAATGCCTTTTCATGGCTGGGTTTCGTTCTTCCTCTCCTCTTCCTTGTCCCAGGGCTGGAGGAAGCAATAATCACAATACTGTATTTTGCCCTCTTAACTCTTTCTCAGAAAGCTGACGAGCCTGTGAAATACCATCCCCGTGAATAAGCAGCTCCGGGGAAGTGGGGACATGGTTCCTGCCAGCCCTGTGGAGCAGGGGACAGGCACAGGTGGTTTTCAGACCAAAAGCCAAAGGGTTCAGTGTGGTAGGTCATGCTTTAGGAAGGGCTTGGTATTAATCATCCCTGTGGTTCACAAACCTCTGCAGAAACCTTGGACTTGATGCCAGGCACCTCGCTGGTGATTTACAACTTGCTTTTGTTGTTATTAGAGTCAAAATATTATCAAAACCAACCAAACAAACAAAGAAAAGGTGGTAGGAGACCTCCTCATTGCTTTGTATTTATTACAAAACTCTTAATTACTTCACACCAAGCTGCTGGTAACTTCATTTGGTGTCAAACTCTGAAGCAAATGATTGAGCTGGCTGTTTGAAATGCATCGTTGCTGCTCGGTGTGTGATGGGCACTGGGGCTCCCAGCCACCCTGCTCTGGGATGGCTGGGAAAACCCTGGGCTCAGGGTTCGGATGTGCCAAGGCTTCTCTTGCTGGAGAAGGAGGTGAAGGCACCAGGAGCAGGGATGGGACTTGTGCAAGGGCAGGTTTGTGCTGGGTAAGGAGGAAATCGGCAGCCCAGGCTCATCTGGCTGCAGTGATGTGGCCAAGGAGGCAGGACTGAGACCTGGACCTCCAATCTGGGTGGGAAAGGTCCCAGAGCTCAGAGATACTTAGATCAGTTTGGCTCAGAGCTTTTGTCTAATTAAAACAAAACCAAACCCTATTAATTATTGTAAGGTTTTCCTCCATAGCTGATAAATATATCCTGAAAATCACTTCTTCAAAGGGGATAAATCACTACAACAGCTTTAATGGTTGGAAAGGTTTCATAGGAAAATTCCCGATGGGCTCCAGGAGGGATGCAGACCTGGCATGCGTGTTCTCACTCACTACAAAGAAATGGCCAAACTCTCGGCTTTTTCCCCTCATTCCAGTTGGCAGATACGATATGGAGCCAATGCAAAGAGAAAGGGTCAGGCTGGTGCAAGGGTGAGGTTGTTCTAAACGCTTTGTTCTTGTATTTTAGTTTATATAGTGTAGCTTGGCCTTTTGGTGACCCGTTCAATAATTCTGGGGGGTTTCTGACAGCCTGGTGACCTGCCGGGGAGGTCGGCAGCGTGAGCCAGCCGCTCTCCCTGCTCCTGGCCTCACAGCAATGAATCTTATTTGACTATAAAAAGCCAAAAGGGCAGAATCCACCTCCAGCTTAGAAAGCAATCACGGGTCCGTTATCCCCCTCCCTGCAAGTTCGGTTATTTCTCAAGAGGCTTCATTCTGTGAGGCAGCTCCCCAAACCCAAATGGCCTTTAGGAGAAGAACTGGAGTGGGTTTGGTTGCTGCTCTGCCCCCTCTTTGCAGGGTGGTTGGGTGGTGTATAAATCACTGCTCACAAAACCACCCCAAAAGAAAAGATCCTCATACCACGGAGCAAACGCAGCTGCCACGCTGGTGACATCAGAATTGTTCCTTTGATCCATCATTTTTCACAGGAGATTCTCTTTTTGGTTTTGCTTTAATTTTCCTTTTTTTTGTGGGTTTTTTTTTTTTGTGTGTGTGTGTGTGTGCATAAAGTGCCACTAATGACAAACCGTGGTGCCCGGGAGTGAGTGACAGCTGAAATAAGAGAAATGACTAATCAGGCCTCCTGAAGCCCTGTCGCATGGAGATTAAATGAGCCCTTTTTTCTTCCCCCCTCAATGAGAATCATGGGCATTTGAATAATAATATTATAGTCTCCATTAGGATGACAGTGGGGGAAAAAAATCGGCTCAGACCTGTGATTATTCCTTCAATCTAATAATTATTTAAATACCAGATAACTCCTTTCAGCCTAATTGAGGCCTTTCAGCTGCTTGGGTTTATATTGTGTCCCTGAATTTACTCTCTCTTTCACCTTGTGTTACTAATAGCTTCAGATTGCTTTTAAGGCTGTATTTTAAACACGCTTCTGAAAAAAAGAGGAATAATTAATGATCAAATGGTAGTAAGGATTGGAGTTAAAATCACCCACTCTCCTGTTGCCCTGGTGTTTAACTCCCCAGCTGTACTTGGCCATCCCCAAGCCCCTCGGTAGGACATACCATGGGGTTCTGCTGATGTTTGGTGTCTGTATCCCCGAGTGCTGCCTGATCCTTGTCCTGCACCTGCGCCTTGTCCCCGTTCCGTGATGTGCAGCCAGGGATGGATCATCATTCCCTGGCTCATTTGGGGAGGATGTCAGTTCATGCCATGCTCTGGCATCTTCAAATACTGTTTGAAAGCGCAGGTTCTTTTTCCTGGGTGATCTCTCTTGCCTTTGGCAGTGACTGCTCACAAGTACTCTGCAGAACCTTCTCCGTAAGGTGCTGCCTGGAAATTGGGCTTCAGCCGTCAGCTCTGCTGCACGACAGCCCCAGACTGGCTCTGGCTTTTGTACTGTCTCTGGATGAAAATGTTGCTGGAAAAGATGTAAACCAGCTGTGGGCTAAGTGAAGAGCTTCTGTTAATATATATACAGATATATGGATATAAAATGTAATTATTTAGATTTATTAATTTCTAGCTCGTGGTGTTCTTTTCTCACTTTGCAGTGGAACAACTATTTTAACATTGGAAAGCTGCTGAGCAGGAAAACCATTGTGTGCTGAGCTTTACAGCGCAGCCTCCCCGCTCTCTGCAGAATCTTCTCCACTTTCTGGACTCCCCTCAAACCACAGCCCTCTGCTCCAGCACCATCCCATCTTCTTGGGGAACAAGGCACAGAGGGAGCTTTATTTTTGGGCTCCTGCTAGTGAGGGATGCTTTGGCCTTGGAGGAAAGCCCATTTGTGCTGCCCGGGGCAGAGCCCTGCAGCCACCCTCTGTGCCATCCCCAAGGCAAGGGCAGTTGGGTGGCTGTGGCTATGTGCTTGCTCAGGTCACCACGATGCTTGAGGTTTCTTGTGGGTTGATCTGGAGATGCTCAGCAGAACTCCTGTATCTGCAGCTCTCATGCCAGCTTTCCCAGGCTCCTCTTGACTGGCTCCTCTTGAGTTTTTCCATGGTGTGGGGGTTCCCTGTGTCTTTCCAAGAAGGCACCGTGCTGCTGGCTGGCATCTCCCTGCCAGTGACACACACGGGTTTCTCAGTGGTTTACGCTGCAGTGCCGCATTATCCAAGAGCAAAACTACCCAGATCCCAATGCCTGTGATGAAGTTGGTGGTGCCAACTGTGGGTTGCCAGCAGCCCTTGCACAGGTGGGTGGCCTGGAGAGCCTTTCTCCACACAGATCCTCGGGAAGAGTTTGATTTGTGCCCTTTTGAAGGAGTCTGGATTCAAAGAAGAGTTTTGAGATGTTCACTCAGAAATTTAATGAGGAGAGCGGGGAGGTCACCCTGGTGCTGTGGTGGCACGCTCAGGTCTGTGGCGCGGGTGGCTGCTTTCTGCCACAGTCATCCAAACAAATAATAAGGATGCAGCAGGGTCTGTGTCCCAGCTGGGAGAGAGAGAAAGAGAAACTGCTTCAGCCAAAGGTGGAAATTAAGAGACTGGAAATAAGTAGCAAGCAGTCGGGGAAATGTATCCCTGAGCAGAATGAGAAACCCATTACCGCTCTCTTTCTCCTGTCTTGTCAGCAACACCGAGACGTGCAGCCCAGGGACAGAGCTCCTTTGTCACCTTTCAGAAACACCCGTCTCCGGCTCCCGGCGTTAACAAGCCTAAAGAGCGGCCGTTCGGTGACACTCGCTTATGAGCTCAGTGTAGGTTTTCAGCACTGTGAATTATTTTAAATACCAAAATGGAGATCGGTGTCAATCAAATCCCCTGCCCACAGGTGAGGACAGCTGAGCGTGGGGCTGTGTGAGGGGAGCAGCCTCCTGCGTTTGCACACAGGGCAGGGGACGAGAGGCAAATGTGCAGAGAGTGCCAGTTGTGTGTGCTTGGCGCTTGTGTGGTTGTGCTGGGACTTCAGTGCAGATGGAATGGTGGCTTGTCCTCAGCCTCTTCCCAAGGCTGATGTGACCCTGCAGTGCTGTGAGGTGGTGGAGAAAATCTCTCCCCAACGCAGGCTGAAAAGGTTCCTTTGATTGTCCAGCCTGGAGTGTGTAAGGAATGCATAATTTGGCAGAAAGGAGAACTTTGTGATGGTTTTCTGAATCCAGGCAGTCAGGCACATTTGTAGTGGTGAGTAAGGCTGATGTCAAGCCAGGAACACAAGTCACGGTCAGGTCTGTAGATGATAACAAAGATGAGGCACAATCCAGTGACCTCCAGGCTCTGGGAGGGGTGGAAGGGAGATGCTGGTGGCTTTGGTGTGTATATGCTCAATGAACTTTCCTACATGAGACTTCTTCCTCAGGCTTCCAAATTAAATCATAGAGGATTTAAAGGTAGAAAACAACTCTTATTTCCTCTGTTACTTCCAACAACATACTCTGCAGGAGACATCTTTTTAACCAAGATTGCAGATTGATGGTTGGGTGTGTGAGCTGCAGGGTTTGTCTTGGGCTGAAGCTGATTATCCACTCCCATGGCTGAGTAGAGTGTGTTATAAACAGCTAAACCACATAACAAATTAACACACAGAGCCTGAACCAAGTGGCAGAACATCAAGCCTGAACTGTTTACCAATAAGTTAGGAGACCTGCTTAATTCTTGTTGGGCTTAGAGACGTCCTCACTTTATCTCAAGGACTGTGTAATTAGAAAGCCTCCTTAGAATTTTATCTGCAGGGCACACTGGATCTAATCCTTTGCTCTGTGTGTTTCTTTTCTTTCCCCAGAACCATGTGAGGGACATTGCTGGGGCACAGGACGCGCACAGGGAACACGAAGTTTGCCTTTCCCAGGATGGATCAGAGGAAGAACTGGCCTCGGGTACCGGACTCCGATGGCTGGTCGGTGGTTTTGCTCTGTCTCTTCCTGGCATTGCTCTCCCGAAACGTGTCCAGCAATGCCTTGTTCAGCACTTTCCACTCTGAGAACCGGGACTGGACGTTCAACCACCTGACTGTCCACCAAGGCACCGGAGCAGTCTATGTTGGAGCTATCAACAGGGTTTACAAGCTCTCGGGTAACCTGACCATTTTGGTGGCTCATAAAACTGGTCCCGAGGAGGACAATAAATCCTGCTACCCACCCCTCATTGTCCAGCCATGCAGCGAGATCCTCACCCTCACCAACAATGTCAACAAGCTGCTGATCATTGACTACTCTGAGAACCGGCTGCTGGCTTGTGGCAGCCTCTACCAGGGTGTCTGCAAGCTGCTACGCCTGGATGACCTCTTCATCTTGGTGGAGCCCTCACACAAAAAGGAGCACTACCTCTCTAGTGTCAACAAGACGGGCACGATGTATGGTGTGATTGTGCGCTCGGAAGGGGAAGATGGGAAGCTCTTCATTGGCACGGCAGTGGATGGGAAGCAGGATTATTTCCCCACCCTCTCCAGCCGCAAACTTCCCCGGGATCCAGAGTCATCAGCAATGTTGGATTATGAGCTCCACAGTGACTTTGTCTCATCCCTCATCAAAATCCCCTCAGACACCTTGGCCCTTGTTTCACACTTTGACATCTTCTACATCTATGGATTTGCCAGTGGCAACTTTGTCTATTTTTTGACTGTCCAGCCAGAGACCCCAGAGGGTGTCTCCATCAACTCTGCCAGTGATCTCTTTTACACCTCTCGCATCGTCCGTCTCTGCAAAGACGACCCCAAGTTCCACTCCTATGTCTCTCTGCCCTTTGGCTGCGTCAAGGGGGACACGGAGTACCGCCTCCTGCAAGCAGCCTATCTCTCCAAGCCAGGAGATGTGCTGGCCAGGTCTCTCAACATCACGGCCCAGGAGGATGTTCTCTTTGCCATTTTCTCCAAGGGACAGAAGCAGTACCATCAGCCACCTGATGACTCCGCGCTCTGCGTCTTCCCCATTCGTGCCATCAACGCTCAGATCAAGGACCGCCTGCAGTCCTGCTACCAGGGGGAAGGTAACCTGGAGCTCAACTGGCTGCTGGGGAAGGATGTCCAGTGCACTAAGGCGGTAAGGATGTTGGCCGTGGTAGCCCTCAAGAACTGGTGTCAATGCCAGGCCCTATGGAACGTGAGCTTGCAGAATAGGATCGGTCTTTCTGTGCCTCAGTTTCAGAACAGACATAGTTGTCCTTTTCCTTTTTAATCCATGTTCTTATCAGACAGTTGGTGATGACAGTGAAGGGAAGGGGTGGCATTAAGGCAGATGAAGAAAGGTGTGCAGCTTGCTGGAATTGTTTGTTGTTCCCAACCTGGGGCTCTGGAAGCTGGAGGAAAGTTCTCACCCTTCCTAGAGCAGGAGGGTGCTATCAACAAACGAACAAGATAAATACAAATGACAGTTGTGTCTTTTATATTTTTATTCAGCTGATTTATTTAAATCTTGGTTCACCTGCAGATTGTTCCTGGGCTGACTTGGGAATCCCTGGGGCCACTTTTTGCCGAACACGTTAAGTTTGGCTGCTGGGAAGAGATAAACATGTGTTAAATGGAGTGAGGAGGGAAGGTGAAGAGAAGCTTGAGCACTGCCTTGCACAGGGGAGAGTCACCCCATCACAGTTAAAACTAGATGTGCCCGAGCATTTGGTAGTTAATGTCCCTTGTGGAAAATAAGTGGATTGCAGTCAGTGTGACGGCGAGTGGCCACCCATGTCACCACCCTGCTGCCTATGCCATGTAGGAACTCACTCGAGCAATCTCAGCTGATGTGGCTTAATATTTATCTGTCAGCAGGATGATCTTCCCTCGCTTGTGGAAAGTGGTGTTGCAGGGAGAAGCCAGCATCCATATTCCCCATGTTGTAGAAAGGAAACTGAAGCACAGAGAGGTGGTTTGTAGGGGAGTGAGCAGCTGGGCAGTGGAAGGAGCAAGAGTGCATCTTCATTTAGCACTTGGGGTGTTTTATGTTGCCAGAGCCCGTCCCTTGTGTGATCACCCACCTTTCCAGAGCAGCCAGGCTGGTGCTTTCCACCAGCCCCATGTTCACGTGGGGAAGGTTCATCTCTGCCCTGGAGCTGGGCTGTTTGTGCCAGAGGGAGGTGGCTGCTTCTGACAGGAGTGAGCTGTAGCGTCCTCTCCTCTCCCACGGTGTGAGATCAGCCCTGTCCAGCTGTCCTCTGGCTGGTCACCAACTGCACAACAGTGCTAGAACTGCTGCGAGCTGTCAGCAGCAGGGCTGGTATCATCTTCCAGGGAAGCCTTTGCTGATGGGAGGATGCTGAGCACCTTTCTGCTTATACTACTCAGCACCTCTGGAAATTGGGTTGAGAGGAGGTGAAATGAGTGGAGGAGAGAGTTCCTGCATGGCCACACAGCAGGGCTAAACCCCTGAGAAGCCTAGTAGATTTAGAAAACAAGTGGAAGTGTCTATTGGACTTAGAGTTCCTCCTGAGCCATGTCCAAACCCATTTTGGAGCAGCCACAGAGTGTCTTGGCCTCAGGCAGTGAAGGGAACAAGCCACTGAGGAAGGTGGCTGAAGCTGGCAGGGTTCCTGGTTCACTCACGGCTGCCCCAAACTTTGTCTTTCCAGCCAGTCCCCATCGATGACAATTTCTGTGGGCTTGACATCAACCAGCCCCTGGGAGGCTCGGTGCCAGTGGATGGTCTGACCCTCTTCACCTCAAGCCGGGACCGGATGACTTCTGTTGCTTCTTACGTCTACAACGGCTACAGCGTGGTGTTTGTGGGGACTAAGACTGGCAAGCTGAAGAAGGGAAGCTTGTTTCTGTGACTTTGGAGAGCCAGGATCCATTTTTCATCTCTCTCGGGTATCTCAGATGTGTGTAGCTGCTGCTGTGTCTTACAGATGTTTCCCAATGTGTAACTGGGAGCCAGTCAAGAGCAAAAATCGCAGGGTTTGGATCACAGAGAGCCTGGCATTGCTGAGGTGAAGTTCATCCCTCTGCGTCGTTAGTACAGAGCGGTGTTGCTGTGGTTTCTCTTGAAGCAAAGAGCCAAGCAATGGGAGAGATGCAGCAGACACTGCTGCAGTGTGGTCCTCAAAAAGGGACCAGCTGAGGCCATACAGTTCCCATTGCTCCAGAGCATCCCCTCGCCCAGGCGGGGGGCACCTTCCTTCAGCAGCAGCTGCTACAGGTCAGCACCAGCTCCTGTGTGTGCTCTGCCTGCCTGTGTGTCACAGCGTTTCCCTGGTGCTTGTCTGGTTTCTGTTGGGTTTTGTTTGGGTTTTTTTGTTGCATTTTATCATTCAGTGAGCTGTGGTTTGTGTGTGTTTGTGGGGCTGACGCAGAAATTATCAGGGCAATAATTGGAGCTGGCTCGCAATTTCTGAGTGCGAGTGAATGTGGACAGGCTCTATCTGAGGTGTCAGATCTTTCCTCCTTTTTGATGCACTGGTGGGAATCTTGAAGTGGTTTAGAGTTGTTTGCTTCCCAGCAATCCTTCTGCAGCTTGTGTAGGAGACTGTGAGTGAGAAAGCTTTCGGTTGATGGAAAAATTGCTGATGGTGGCAGGATGTTTGGTCCTTGAGAGATAGGAAAGGGTTAACTTGTCTGCTTTTGGAAACCAAGCCTCAGGGCAAAGTCCTACTGCTTCTCCTGCCTCTTACCTCCTGCTCTTCCCTCTGACAGTTGGATGATTGATCAGTAGTGGAAGATAACATTCCTCACCCTCTGCGCCACAAACACTGGGGCTGGTTGCCCAGGGCAAAGAGATGCTCCTGCTGGTTTCCTCCCCCAGCACAGGGGATGGGGGGGCTCTGGTGAGTTTTAGGATTTTGAAGTCCAACTGGGATTTCTCCCCTCTGAACTGCTCTTCAGTAGGTGGGGCACAAAAAGCTGGTCAGACCCAGTCATCCATCTGCTGTGTGGTCTTTGCTAGTCCTCTCTCAGGAGTCCCATATTTAAAATGAGTGTGGAAATGGCCTTGGGGTGTGTGAAAATGAGTGTGGAAATGGTCTTGGCAGCGGGGACCCCCTCCAGCTTGTTGGTCTTTAGTGTTGGAGCTGCAACTGGAAGTCAACTCATCAGTGGGAGCAGAAGTCTGATCCAGCTCCAGCAAAACCAGCCTTAGAGATGCTGCTCTGGAGAGCTGAGATCCTTCAAATTAACCTAAAAATATAAATGACAGCATTAGGTGAACCTGCTAAATGCAGACCCTGCTTCTTCGTACCAGGGAAAG